TAAGTGAAATAAGCCAGTCAATGAAAGAAAAATACCACATGATCTCACTCATTTATGGATAATAAAGACCATTATAAACTGATGAACAAAAATAGAGGCAGAGCAGCATTGAACAGAATGTCAAACTACAGTGGGAAGCCTGGGGAGGGTTGAGGGTTGGTGTAAGAGATCAACTGAAGGACTTGTATGCATGCATATAAGCATAACCAATGGACACAAGACACTGGGCGGTAGGGGAGGTCAGGGGAATGTCATCGGGGGGGGGGGAAGGAGACATATGTAATACTCTTTGTAATCTTTAAGCAATAAAACAAAATTTAAAAAAAATAAATGAACTGTCCAAGTTTAGGGTAAGGTGCACCTGGATCCGGGTGCTCAAGTAATGCCACCCACCACCTGTGGCTCTGCTTTCTGCTGTGCTGACTCCTATTTAGGCTCCACCAGTGTGGTGGCTAGATGGCTACTCCAGTCTTAAGCAATAGGTCCTTGATACTCCTGGACAGCAAAAGTCTACTTCAACTCTTTTTTATAACGTTTAAATGAGAACATAGCCATTAGGGCAATGCTGTAATTCCCACTCCCCATTCCCACCAAAGCCCATGGGTTAAGGTTTAAATTATAGGCGTGCAGAGTGGGCTTCCCTTGATCTCACAGTCTTGAGTGACAGTTGAAAGTTAAGTGTCATTGGTAGGAGCTGGTGAAAGTCACAACATTTCAATGACCTTAAACTTGATCATTCATTGTGACTGCACAACACAAATACTTATTACCTGAAGCCTGAGATTTTTAATGTAATGTGAGAGGCAGCAGAATCTGGGCAGCAAAGGCCTCATTAAATCCCAACCACAGATACTTGAACTGACCCCAGAATGGTCAGCAAACACCAAGAGAGAGGCTGCTCCACCCCTGCTTTTTGTACCACATTCCCAGATCTCTGAAGCAGCCTGCTGTGCAGCAGGGGGTCACAAGCTTTTCTTAATTAGAAAAAAGAAATGTATGTCTATTAGTTTGGGTACACAAAATAAAAATAATAAATAATGAATTTCTGTGCACCCTGCACTCACCTTACTAGTAGGAAATAAAAACTTAAGTCTCCAGAAATAACCACTATCTTGCATTTGATGTTTATCATCCTTATGCATGTTTACTTTTTTTTCACATGTCTGTGAGCAATATATAGTGCCATTTTGCTTGTTTTAAGCTTCATCTCAGTGATATTCTATGGCTATCCTTCTATAAATTGCCTTTTTCCATTTTGGCCTTATGATGATACATGGCATTCTGGTTTGTTCATTTTCACTGCTATGTAGTATTCCACTTAAACATATCAGATACATTCATGATTGTCCTGTGTGTGGACAGCAAAGTTATTTCCAATTTTTCACTATGAAAAACAGGGTTGCTGCGAGCATTCTTGCAAGAGTCTTGTGCAAGTGTGCGAGTTTCTTCATGTTGTATGTATAAATGTAGAACTGGAGGGCTGAGCAGTGTGCATATTTTCACTCCTGGGAGATATTGCCAGGGGCTCTCCATGGTTGTGGCCAATTGGCAATTTCTGAACTGTCTCCCACCTCCATCTCTTCAAGGCTTATATGGCCCAACTTTTATTTTCTTTTAATATGTTTGCCAATCTGAAAATAAAATGGAATCTCTTTCTTGTTTGAATTTGTATTCCCAGATTACTAAGGTTAAATGTTTTATTCATGTAGAAGCTCATTGTGTAAAGCTAAACTAGTCAGAGTTTTTCTGTTTGGGGTGGGGTAATGGTTCATATTTAAGATATCTAAACAATCGCATGTATAGTTTTAGTACCTTGGGATGATGTATCTGTTCCTAAATATTGAGCATATTTTTAAGCAAATGAGTTTGTATTAAATATCTTTGTAGCATATTTTAGCTAGTTGTTTGTGAATTTAGCGTTATCGGTGACATGCTCTTCCCATCCCTTTACATAAGTTAATTGGGAGGTGGCTTTAACAGCGGGTCTGAAAACTCAGCTATGAAGCTGAGGAAGTGAACCAACACCTGAGACCTAAAGGCAGGCATCGCGAATTCGCTGGGCATGTTCCTGGTGTAGCACCTTTGCTCTGACTGTTCCTCACCCAGAAGTGCCATGGTCACTCCCTCATCTTCTCCAGGTTGTCTCCAGATCTCACCTTTTCAGTGGGGCTGTGTAAAGTGTGCCAGCCCAGCAGCCGCTCCTGTATGTTTTCCTGCTCTATCTCCTTCACAGTGCTCACCACTGAATCACTATCTGTGTAAATTACTTACTTACTATTTGCTTTGCTGCTGTTTCTTTCTTTGTCCTTCCCCTACCACCTGTAGAAAATAACTCTGCAAGGGCAGGCATCTTGCTCTATTCTGTCCATTATAATAGTCCCTCCTTATCCATGGTTTCAGTTATCCATGGTCAACTGTCATCTGAAAATATTGGATACTAGAGGCCCTGTGCACGAATTTGTTCACCAGTGGGGTCCCTTGGCCTGGCCGGTGATCAGGGCTGTCTCGCCTGATCGGGGCCGATGGAGGCCGGCCAGCCAGGGAGGGACTGCAGGAGGGCTCCAGGGCATGTCTGGCCCATCTCACCCAGTCTCAATTGGGCCCATCGGGGCCAGGGAGGGACCACGGGGGGGTGGGGGAGGGAGGGAGCATGATGTGTCTGGCCTGTCTCACCCAGTTCCAATTGGCTGTATCCCAGCAGCAAGCTAACCTGCTGTTTGGAGTGTCTGCCCCCAATGGTCAGTGCACATCATAGTGACTGGTGGAACGGTCGAACAAACAGTTGAATGAACGGTTGGACACTTAGCATATTACACTTTTATTATATAGGATAATTATTCCAAAAATAAACAATTCAAAAGTTTTAAATTGCATACAATTCTGAACTCCCTGCTGCCCCTCTCCATCCCACCCAGAATATGAATTATCCTTTTGTCCAGCGTATTCATGCGGTCTATGTTACACTAGAGGCCTGATGCACGAACTTCATGCAGGGGCTCAGCCCACACAGGCGTGACGGCTTGCCTCGGCCCTCACAGCCCTGGCTTCCTCTGGAAGGTTGTCCAGAAGAACGACTGGAAGGTCGTCTGGCTGTTTGGTCTAATTAGCATATTACGCTTTTATTATAATAGATGTTCATTAGTTACTTATAGCTGTCTTGGTCATCAGATTGACTGTAAGGATATCAAAATACTTGCACACTTAATTATGCCCCCAAAATGCAAGAGTAGTGATGCTGGCAATCCAGATTTGCTGAAGAGATGCTAAGGGGTGCTTAGAACATATGGATAGGGTTTAGTTCTACTCATGGTTTTCAGCATCCATGGGGGGTCTTAGAGCATATCTGCCCTGGATAGAGAGGACTATTTATATATGTTCTTTCCTGTACATACATGCCCCGATAAAGTTTAATTTATAAATTCAGCACAGTGAGAGATTAGCAACAAATAATAAAATTGAACAATTATAAATATATCCTAGATAATAAAAGGCTAGTATGCAAATTGTCCCCTCCACGGGAGTTCAACCCAGAGTTCAACTGGGAGTTCAACCAGGGGGCTGGCCGGCCAGCCAACCGCCTGCGGCCCCTCCCCCCAACTGGCCCACCCTGATCACCCGGATTAGGTCGGGCCACCAGACCCAACCCGTGCACGAATTTGTGCACCCGGCCTCTAGTACTGTAATAAAAGTTATGTCAGTGCAGTCTGTCTTTTTCTCAAAATACCTTATTGTGCTGCAGTCAACTTTTCACTCACAGGGGAGCTGCCCCAGTTATGAAGGGGAAGGAAGACGGTGGCCTTCAATGGGAGGATGAAGAGAGGGGGATAATTTAGGGAGAGACTTAGGACCTCGCTGCTATCTTCTCCTGTGATCATCAAAATCAGTGGACTCTCAGGGACTTTCTGCATCCTGGCTCGCTGAGCAGGAAGGGTCTCCTATTGAGCATGCTCCTGAGTGATCAGATTAGGAAGCTGCCCAGCAAGCTCCACCCACATCTTTAACTTTCTTCCTGGGGAAAGGAATGGGGAGCAAATTGCCCTCCTCCCACGGGCAGTTCACAGGGCAGCTTGCTGTGCTCAGGTTTCGGAAGGGAGGTGTCTCCAACATCCAGGCTTCCCCGTCTGCATCTTTTGCTCGAGTACATTAGTTCCCTTTGTCTCAGGCCCCTAACAGGGCCCCCTTCTCCCACTTGCCAGGACTGTTTCTCAGTGCTGTGTCTGAGGCTGGGCTGCATCCCGGCGTCTGGAACAAATCTTTTGTTATGATGAAATAGCAGGACTCTTGGATCCTGATCCCTTCTCAGCTGTTAACTTGGTATTTGGTTCCTTGGTAATTTTCAGCTTAACCTGCCTCCTCTCCTGCCCGTTTCTCACTAATCAGTTTCATACTGGAAGCTGAATTTCACACATACCACCTCCACAACCGTGAGTGAGATGGTTAGATTAATGCCTGTTTCTTCACGACTCTCCCAACACGTAATAGAGGCACATGTGTGGGTTCCTGTGCTCACCTCCCAGACTTGTGTGATTTTCCTTTGGTTCAATGGTCATGCACCCCCCACAACCTAACACCATCCAGATGGTGAGAATATCATGTTGCTCATTTCACATGAGAAAGCCATGCCCCACCCTCTTACTCAAGTTGCATTCAAATCTAATTTCCATGGCCCCTATGAGGGAAGCTTCCCAGCCCCTGTCACAGCTGTCAAGGTTACAATGCTATTTCCCAGCTGGGCCAGTGGCAGCCAGCAGGCACCAGACAGCTGTGTGCTGGCATGGAAGTCACAGTCCCCTCCCGCAGCCCTAACTGTGACTCCTGCCACTGCCAGGGTCAATGCTGGATACATGGTATTATTCTCTGAACAAGAAGAGTTGTCAGCTTATCACTTTATAAAATATAACATATTGTGCCTGCTCATGTTTTGGAATGTTCCAACCATTTACTGGCTGTTTTCTTTTTTTAATAAGTTTAGGAATAGATTTAATTTGTATTCTTTCCAGGAGACCCGGAGAACCCAGGAGTTTCCATGCCGTGCTGCCCCCCAAGCTCTGGATCCACCTGGCCGTGGTGGCCTGTGGCAACCGGCTGGAGGAGACGCTGGTCATGCTGAAGTCAGCCGTGCTCTTCAGCCACAGGAAGATGCACTTCCACATTTTCACAGAAGAATCTCTGAAGCCCGAGTTTGATAAGCAGGTGAATTTGCAGATATTGCAGCATAACATGTGCCGAGTCAGCTGGGCTGCATTTTGGGAAAAGCATATATTGTTCACAGATGTATTTTGCTGCACATTCAACTGTGTGACTCTGCACCTTTGACTCTGCGCCTCACTGTTATCTGTAACACAGGGTGTCAGAGCCAGCAGGAGCTCTGCTCAGCACTGCTGCTCTGAGTTGTTGTGAGTCCATGTATTCTTCGCAACTCTTCCCGACTACGCCAGGGCTGGTTCCTTCTCTAACCCTGCCCACTACACTCACTGTTGGGAACTTAAGCCAAGTCCGCCTTTATCCTCTGCTCACTAGACAGCAGGCCAATTCTTTCTCGGTGGCGGGCAGACAGAGAAGCCATGAGAGGTTGTGGGTGCACTAGTAGAAGGATGAGTCTTTATTGCAGGAGCCAGTGGCCACATAACTATCAGACAAGACAGTCCTCACAGCAAAGCCCATACAGGTAGGTAGCCGCACACCAGTTGGTGAATACATGTCTTTTCCATAAAGCAGCATCTGTCTCTGTACCCACAGCTGTTATCTCAGCAGCTGCACGCTGCCTCTAAACCTGAAGCTTCACACAGCAATAGCACCTGCCTCTCCCTTAGAGCTGCAGCCTCATGGCCTCTCTGGCTCAGCAGCTTTTCCTGTCTCCCTGCCCAGCACACTGGCGGGGTAACATGGCAGCTGTATCTGAGCTCTCTGTGAGCTCCTAGCCTTCCATCGTGGCAGCACCAGCTCTCAGCTCCGTCTGAGCTCTCCTCTCTCCTGCACACGTAGGAGCTACATTCTCTCTGCCTACCGCCTCTCCTTCTCTGAGCTCTCTAGCCTCTGCTCTGCCCAGCTGCTCTCTTACAGACTAACTGGTCAGTAGTCTGTATATTACTCCAGAGATAAAGCAGGCTAGCTGACAACAGTGACATCAATCATTTGGGTTACAGAAGGGCACAGTGTACCAGATATCCTTACACCCGCTCATGGTGTCTTGGCTTTGGGCACCCCAATGAGTCTCATGCCAGAACAGCCTTGGACATCCCGGTGTATGAACAACAAGGCCTCTGTGCTCTCACTGGCGCGGCTCCCACAGGGGTGATTGCACCTGTAGATGGAAGCATCGTGAGGATGAAATGAGATGATGCACTGAAAGCATTTGCCCCAGAGCTTGATCCCTCTTGGAATTATGAACACTGTTCTCACTCGGGAGACGGATAGTTTATGTTCATTGATGTGCTATGTAGTATATGTTATAAATAAGTAATATATGTTAGTTAAAATAAATTTAAACAATATAGGGCTTATAAACTAAATGTGCAGTCTTTGCTACCTTTCAGTCCTACCCAAGAAAGTATCAGACTTAGCAATTTAGAGTGATTCTTTTAAATGTTTTTCCCCCCCATATACAGGTGTGTATGTGTGTTTATCTGTGGACCGGTGCATGAAATTCATGCATGGGGGTAGGGGGTCCCCTCAGCCCAGCCTGCACCCTCTCCAGTCCAGGGCATACCTCTCACAATCCTGGACTGCTGGTTCCTGATTGCTCACCTGCCTGCCTGCCTGGTGGCCCCTAACTGCCCCCCGCTGCTGGCCTGATTGCCCCTCACTGTCTCTGCGTACCGGCCTGATTGCCCCTAACTGCCTCCCCAACCAGCCTGGTTCACCCCTCACTGTCTCTGCATGCTGGCCTGATTGCCCCCAACTGCCCCCTCCCAGTTGGCCTGGTCACCTCTAACTGCCCCCCCCCCACCAGCCTGGTTGCCCTGAACTGCCCCCCCCAGGCCTAGTTGCCCCTCACTGCCCCCCCCCACCAGCCTAATTGCCCCCAACTGCCCTCCCCGCCCCCCCCGCCAGCCTGGTTGTCCCTAACTTCCTCCCCCGCCAATCTGGTTGCCTCTTGCTGCCCCCCCTGCCGGCCTGGTCGCCCCCCTCTGCCAACCTGGTTAGCCTGGTTGCCACCAACTGTCCCCCCCTTCCCCCCCCCCCCCCCCGCTGGCCTGGTCCACCCTCACAGCCCCACCCCCCCTTACTGGCCTGGTCGCCCCATGCAGCCTGCTGTTCAGTTGTTTGGTCGTCCCTCACTAACCCCCTGTTGGCCTGGTCATAGGCAGCCATCTTGTGAGGGCATGAGGGTCAATTTGCATTTTACCACTTTATTATATAGGATGTAATAGTATATAGGCACATAATAATGCATGCATATTTATGTACCCAACTTAACATATATTTCTTGTACGAAATCAGGATTATCTCTCAGAGTTCTCCTGGAACTTGCTTTTCCTCCCCAGGTCAGGATCCCTACATTCCTGCATCATCCTTTTTGGTGACTACCTAGCAGTTAATTATGTGGCTGAGCCATCATTTATTTGACTGTTTCTGTGCTGAGGAAGGAATAGTAGTTTCTAGCCAGCACATGAGGAGCGCGTGGGAAACGCCCCTCCGCAGTCCCGCAGCTTGTTCATGCAGAGCGAGCTTTGTTTTCCCTGAAAGCCTGTGAGATTCGGATGCCTCGCTTGCTCTGCACGGGACCTGCTTACTGAGACCGCAGTGCTGCCGCCTGCCACGAGGGGCCGCTGGTGAGACACGCCCAAGCAGCAGGTTGGGCAGAGAAAGGCTACAGGAAGCTGGAAAATGTTTCCTAAAGAAGAAACCACCGTCACATCTTCACCAAGAGAAGCCAGGGGAACAGATATTCTTGGGGCTTTGAATATGTTTGCAAAATGCCTTGAAAACTGAGTCAGGGTACGGGGGGGCGGGGGGAGGAGAAAAATCACGGAAACATACATAGCTGGTCGGAAGCTGTGGTCTGGAAATGATGGAAGTCATAATAAGCATTTGTCAAGGGTTTATGGTTGACTATTACTTAATCCTCATAACAACGCTTTTTAAAGGTAACAATCATGTTTCTATTTTACAAACTAAGTGACAAAATCTCGTGGCCTTTGTGAGCTTCAGTTTTCTCCTCTGCACTTGGGGCCAGTGGGACTGATGGCAGAGATGACAGATCTGTGACGGAACCGGCCAGGCCAGGCTGTAGTGGCTGCTCCCAGAGAATCCCAGGGCTGTCTCTCGTGCAGACCAGCCATGCTCTGGTGCATCTGCCGGAGCCTGTGGCCTCCAAGGCCTGGGTCTCCTCTCCAGGAGAAGAGACAGCGCATCACGACTGCTTTTTAGTCCCTCCGCTTGACAGTGACACGTCTTCTCTGCACCCATTCATTGTCTAGAAGTGTTGTGAGGGGCTGAGAAGCACTCTGTGTGCAGGAAGGAAGGACACTGGCTGTGGGCAAACACTAGCCACGTCTTGTACAACACCCGCTGGACAAGTGCTTCCTGAGTCCCTCCTCATGCAGGGAGCCGGGGCATGAGGATGGAGCCAAACACAATGTAAGCTTCCGCTTCAGACAAGGTCAGGAGGAGGAAGTTGTGGCTGTGTGGCTACGTATGTGGGCAGGTTGTATTTTTCAGAGGCCCCAGTGTCCCACCTTCTTATTCACACCCTCTGAATTTCCCTCCTACACTGACGCAGCTTGGTCTGTGTGACCAGTGGCATAGGGAAGAAGTGATGCTATTCCACTTCAGAATTAGATTTTAAAAAGGCATGACATCTTCCTTCTTGTTCGCATTCTCTTTCTCTCCTGACCCCTTTCTCTGGGGGAGCCAGCTGCTGTCAGGCAGGTCAAAGAGGCCACAGCTCAGGAAGGAAGGCTCCTGGCACGCGCACTCGGGGGTAAACCTGGGGACGGAACCCCTGCTCCATGAAGCCTGCAGATTGATATAAAAGAAAACGGGGGTCCTTTCCCCACTGGATGCTGGGGGTGGAAGCCTTACAATATCTCAAGGAAAAGAATTTTCTGAATCTAGCCTGGGAGAATGAGTGATTTTTATTTGCATGGGTTTCCTTAGTCCAGTCATAGAAGTGGAGCTGGGGCCTCAGTGAAGCTAGAAGCAGCGCCAGTGGCCAGAGTTTATTTCCATGTTGCAGCCAGGGCCTCTTCAGCATTAAGCTGGCTGAAGTCCATTAGTCCAGTGTTTGGGGTCCTCATGGCCATGGGTAATGGAGGTGAATGCAAGGGAGCCCCACAAACCCAGAGTCACCCAACTCCCAGGAGTCCCAAGAGCAGTAAAAGCACAAGAGAGGGAACTCCTTTGTTCAGGGGAGTAAATAGCCCAAGTTTTGTGCCCCTACAGTGGCCACACCCATGCTGACCTTTGTTCTCAGCTGTGACTGACAGCAAGCACCTTCCCTAGTCCCCCCAGCTTCACTGGGCATGCGGCTGCCTCCCCTCTGTTGGCCGCTGGGGAGTGTGAAACGGCAGCTCCTGGTGAAGCTCCCGGGTGACATGCCTGTAGTGTCTGGCCTTCACTCTGCTCCTTCCTGTTATTAATAACCAGCTAACGGCGCCAGGTCAGGATGACTGTAGCTCCAGCCATTGGGCTGTAACCTCACAAGAAGCCTTGAGCCAGAACAACGCAGCTTGAGGATTGCTGACCCCGAGGAACTATCTGAGATAAATGCTTTTGGTTTTGAGCTACTAAGTTTGTTATAAGGCAATAGGCAACACATACACATCTACATACGTAATACATATGTTCATATAAAGTAGGGTATGAGACATGTAATGCTATGTGACATCTGAGCCTTGGTCATAGAAAGGAGATGGCTCTGCTTGGTTCTTCTCGGGATGCCTGCCCCAGAGCCTGGCCACTGCACTGTGATGAAGCCCAGCTATCCTGCACGGAGAGACGACACACAGAGGTCCACGCAGAGAGGGACCAAGTCCCAGCCAGTAACTCCCCTCTCCCGCCAGACATGTGAGCAAGCGAGCCTCCAGGTGATTCCAGCTCTCCCCTTCCAGGCTTCCAATTGAGGCCCAGATACTGTGGAGCAGGGTCAAGTTGTCCCTTCTGGGCCTGTCCACACTTCTGGACCAGGGGACCCATGAGCATAATAGATAAAAAATTACTAAGTTTTGGGGTAATTAGGAGCAAATTATATGGATGAAATCATTGTAGATACGTGTGAAGTTGTGCCACATTTTGAATTTCCTGATGCCTTTACCCATTTGATGGCTCATTTCCTCAGGTCTTTGTTAGACAGTGAAGTTCAACTAAATGAAGGAAATTATACTTGGTTGTTAAAATTTGGGCAGGACCTATGGTGTCACCCGTTGTTTTCATACTCAGACTGTGGTGCCAGTTTTGATTTAAAATCTTGGCTCTTACACAGTCGCTGAATTCTCAGTTCCAATGTTTTTGTAGTAAAGGTAAACCACACCCATGGTAGATGAATACACAAAGGGGACAAATGATGCTTGCTCTGCAGAGTGTGCCTGTGCGGTGGGTCAGGCCATCTGTATATTCTCTCATTCTACAAAGATTCTTGGAACATCTAGACGTGGGGCAGTGTGTTAGCCGAGGGTCAGCAGCGGGTTTCTCCTCCACAGGGAAGGTGGAGGGCAGGTTATGCTACTGCTCAGAGCTGTAAGTGCCAACGCAGAGCATTGTGGGAATATCCAAAGTTTCTTATAATAACTTCCTGGGAAGTGCAAAGTCACATACCTCAGGGTAAAAAAAAAAAAAAAAAAAAAAAAAGCTACTCGCCATCATTATTCCTTTGGAAGTTGCGTTGTGGGTGAGCTTTATTTAAGTAGAATTTATTTTAAATCTGCTTAAATACAATAGATATGGTGGTGATTCTTACCATCTACATTGTAGATCTTTAATATTTTAAAGTTTTATTTATCTTTGTCATCTCCTGAAATAGAAGCTGAAAATGGCAGCTGGTTGATTTCCTGGACTCTCCAGGAAGCTTGGGATCAGACATGTGATTTAGGTTTGGCTCCTCTTTGCTCCTGCCCCAGACTCAGTATTAGAAAATAGTGGGACACAGAAAGGGGAATGGCCACCAATCCATTCTGGCAGGGGCAGTGGGGCAGCAACAGCTCGTGTGTGTGTGTGTGTGTGTGTGTGTGTGTGTGTGTGTGTGTGTGTGTGTGTCTTTGCCATGGAGGAAGTGTCAACAGGAGTGTCCAATGTTTGCAATCAGCAGAGATTCCTATATGCAGAGTGAAAATGTAAATGGCCTGAATATTTTATTTAAAAGACATAGACTGATAAAGGTGGACAAGCTTCCAGAAGACAGGATGGTAAGGATCAAGTTGTTAAGGAAACCAGTGGACCTGGGACCTCCTGCTGCCCCTCCAGGGCTGACGGTGGGTGCTGTGCAGGCACCACTGCTCCGGGGCCTGCCAGCATGTGCTGGCTGCTGGGTCCCGTTGCCCTGGATGGTTAGCCCTGTCTCAGTCTGGAGGTGTCTGTGCAGTTGTACTGAATATCTGTCCTGTTGTGGGTCTGATTGGTTAGGCCCTTCATAAGTCAGTTGTCAAGTACTTTGACTATCACTCCTGCTCTTTCTCATTCCGAGATTTCTCTCCTGAATATCCATCCTTCAAAAAAATTATTGATTGATTTCTAGAGAGAGAAAGGGGGGAGATGGAGGGAGACATTGATTTGTTCACTTATTTATACATCATTGGTTGCTGCTTGTATGTGTCCCAACCCAGGATCAAACCCACACCTTGGCACTTTGAACGATGCTCTAACCAATGGAACTACCTGCCCAGAGCCCAAATAGCCATCTTTTTTTTTTTTTCCCCAAGCATTTATTTTTTTTTAATATTTATTGTTCAGATTATTAAAGTTGTTCCTCTTTCCCTCCCCCATAGCTCCCCTCCACCCAGTTCCCACCCAACCCTCTGCCCTTATCCCCCCACTGCCCTCATCCATAGGTGTACAATTTTTGTCCAGTCTCTTCCCGCACCCCCACGCCCCTTCCCCCCCCCCACCCAAGAATTGTCAGTCCACTCCCTTTCTATGCCCCTGATTCTATTATATTCACCAGTTTACTCTGTTCATCAGATTTTTTTATTCACTTGATTTTTAGATTTACTTGTTGATGGATATGTATTTGTTGTTCATAATTTTATCTTTACCTTTTTCTTCTTCCTCTTCTTAAAGAATACCTTTCAGCATTTCATATAATACTGGTTTGGTGGTGATGAACTCCTTTAGCTTTTTCTTATCTGTGAAGCTCTTTATCTAACCTTCAATTCTGAATGATAGCTTTGCTGGGTAAAGTAACCAAGGTTGTAGGTTCTTGCTATTCATCACTTTGCATATTTCTTGCCACTCCCTTCTGGCCTGCAAAGTTTCTGTTGAGAAATCAGCTGACAATCGTATGGGTACTCCCTTGTAGGTAACTGACTTTTTTTCCTTTGACTTGATTCTTGGGATCCTCTTGTCTGCTGTTGGATCTCTGTATAATATTCTTTATTTCAGTCAGTGTATGCTTAATTTCTAGTTGGTCCTTTTTCATAACCTCGAGGATCTCACTAAATTTATCGGCGGTTTCTAGAAAATTCTTGAAAAACCTTATAACCGTGATTTTGAACTCTATATCCAGTCGTTGCTTTCCTCCATTTCTGTCATTTGTGGCCTGTTTCTTTGTCTCCGCATTTTTTATGCTTCCCTGTGTTGATAGAGTGGCTTTGTGTGCTAGGTGTCCTATAGGGCCCAGTGGCTCAGCCTCCCCAATTACCTGAGGTGGACACTCTTGGTGCACCCCTTTGTGGACTGTGTGCACAGTCTTGTTGTAGTTAAGCCTTGATTGTTGTTGGTATCACTGGGAGGAATTGACCTCCAGGCCAATTGTCTGTGAGAATCAGCTGTGTCTACAGTGGGAGAACTTCTGTGCTGAAGACACCCTTATGGGGCAAGACTTGCTTCAGTGGGGCTTTGGTGCTCACTGAATCTGCCCCCTGAGTGTGTTCCTTATGGATCTGAGGAGTTGTAATCTGGATGGTCCCAATCTGATCACTGGGTACACTGGCTCTTGGATCTCTAAGGAGGTGCTAATTTAGCCTCTTCCTGAGGCTACCCAGCTGGAGGTATGGGGAAATCTGCAGATTCCTCTTCCTTGTTTGGGGTTTGGAGGTGCCCAGATGAGGCCCAGCTGTGAAACAATGCAAGCTGCTGTGGGGCCTTGGGCCTTCTTTTGGATGTTCTGGGTCTCTCTGACCCAGCTGCAGTAATTTTAGCTCTCAAAGGGCCAGCCCATTCATATGCAAAAGCCTCTGCTAGCAGCTTGGGTGGGGCGGGGTCTCAGGGAATCAATAGCGTGGAGCAAACAGCTATGGATGATCCTCAGCCCTGCCCAAAGAGGCCCCCGGGTCTCAGTGTCCTGTCTCAGTGTCCCACGGTAATCGCTGCCAGCACCTCTGAGAGAAAGCCGCCCTCGAGTTCTGCCAGATGCCAGACAGTCCAGTTTCTCCCTGTATGGGTCTGGGTCCCCAGAGATTCGCCCGGAACTGGAGTTCAGAGCAGTGGGGAGCTTGAGACTCCCTCCTGATTGAAAAAGACACTGGCATCCTCCGTTGCCAGTACTTTCCGAGCACACGCGCCTCCGTACCTCTGCACTTTACGTCCGCACCTCCTCTGAGTCTCAGTGTGCTCTTCTCTTTCCTTCTAGTTGTAGAATTTCCACTCAGCCAGCTTTCCCGTGGTTCTGGATGGTATCTGTCTCATCTTTTAGTTGTATTTTTGAAGTGGTTGTGCGAGGCAGCAATTTCAGGTGTTTACCTATGCCTCCATCTTGGTTTCTCCCCAAATAGCCATCTTAACGTTACAGATTTAAAGTGTTCCCAATGATCTGTCTTTTTTTGAAAACTTTTATATGACTATATAAGCAGTATATATACATTAGAAAAGAAGTCATAAAATTGTAAATGAAAAAAAATGCTCAGGGACAACAGTTCTGGTGTATTTAGTTATTTTTCTTTTTTTATGTTAACATCAGAAATAGGATCAGATCCTTCATTCTCTCTTGTCTAGCTGATACTTAGACTGAATTACTTCTAAAATAGGGCCTGACCAGCTTTTCCAGTGAGAGACCAGCTGGCAACTGTTTCAGGCTCTGCAGGCTGAACATTCCAGTCACTCACCTCTGCTTACTGTGGAAGCAGCCATAGAAGCATGTAAACAATTGGTGTGGCTGTGTTTCAATAAGATCTTTATTTATAAACATGGGGATCCAAATTTCATCTGATTTTTCACATCACAAAATATTACTCTTGATTTTATTTTTTCAACTATTAAAATGTATGGCCACTTCCTTGTAGGTAACTAACTGCTTTTCTCTTGCTCCTTTTAAGATTCTCTCTTTGTCTTTTGCCCTTGGCATTTTAATTATGATATGTCTTGGTGTGGGCCTCTTTGGGTTCCTCTTGTTTGGGACCCTTTTTGCTTCCTGTACTTGCAAGTCTATTTCTTTCACCAGATAGGGGAAGTTTTCTGTCATTATTTCTTCAAATAGGTTTTCAATATCTTGCTCTCTCGCTTTTCCTAAAACCTAACTAGATATCATAACCATTATTTTCATGTCAACACATATAGATCTACTTTATTCTAACTGTACAGTAGTCCATTGCATATTTCTATGATAATGAATTAGGAGCATTTAGTTTGTTCCCAAATGTGTGTGTGGTTTTTCTTTCCTATCAAAATAGGTTTTGGTAAAAATTCTGTATCTTTGTCTTTGAGGATTTGTCCTTAGCACTTTCCCAATTTCCCTCTTGAAAGTTTGTTCCATTTATACTGTCCTCACTGTGTTCACGTATTTCCCATCACCTTGTCACCTCTGGAAGTAGCAATGGTCTTTCCTCAGGGAGCATTGAAAGTGGTGACAAAGTTAGACTTTTTATGTATGTTTCTGGAATACATTCCATCTGACCATTCAGAAGCTCCAGATGGTTTCCATATTTCTGGGGGTCTGATCACCCTCCCCTTGACTTTCATGTTTTTCAGTTACAGCAGTGGCCTGACTCGTATACGGAGAAGTTTGTGCACAGAATCTACCCCATCACATTTTCCGTGGGAAACCCCCAGGAGTGGAGGAAGCTGTTCAAACCCTGTGCTGCCCAGAGACTCTTCCTCCCGGTAGGAACCCTGTTTCAATGAAGTTTCGCTTGAGAGAGAGTTGTCCCTGGAAATGGAGTGGGATTAACCACAGCACATTTAGAGGCATTTTACAGCTAAAAATTTGTCTCTTGGATCTGTCTGTAGTCACTGCTCTTAGTCTTCATGGTGTAGAAAGAGGGTCCCTGAGTTTGAAAGGTTGTCTTTCCCAAAGATTGAGGGGCTAAGAGCATCCAAAGCATGCTTTGAATGATGGGTCTTTCTGACGCACACCATTTACTAGCTCTGCAAACCTCACAGCTCCCCTGTTGTTCTGCACCTCAATTTGCTCTGTCAGCTTGACCCTCAGTAAATATTAGCTTTGATTATTGTTATTTTTTCTTATAATAGTAACTACCACTAGATATAGCCAGGCTAGGGAATAATTCAGAAAAGGTCCAGAGTTTTGGTGCAGCCTTTTGATTTTGAATTTTTAAGGTAATTTCAATTTCATTTTTAAAAATACTAAATAGAAAAATTACTGAACTTATATCAAAACCAAGACTATCAAGGAACATAGTAAGAAAATAAAAGAGTAAAATAACCAGAAAACAGAGTGAGGTGGGACTGAAGGGCAGAACTGTGGGCTCTGGAGGCCCCGCTGAGCCTCTGCTCTGTGTGCAGGGCAGAGAGGGGCTGTGAACTGGTTTCTAGCATAGAAGTGGGATGATCTAACGTGTGGTTTAAAGAGGACACACTGGTCATTGCACACTTACTTAGCTGGATGAATCTCATTGATTGCTGAGGTCAATGAATGATGACTTGTGCTATAGTGGTTGCTTTAGAGATGGATTTAGAACCTGTGTGAGAAATAGAATTTATAAGTTTTTATGATTGGTTTGTTGTAAGAGTTGAAGGGAAGTGAGGTAAGAGGGATTTCACCCAGATTTCTGATCTGAAAAGGTTGATCTGTTTGAAATTGCCAATATTCAGCTATTTATGACCTACAAAAAAAGGCCATTTCTTATGGTTCAGTCTACTAAGTGAATGGTGGTGATATTTAGAGATGGAAGAGTCTAGAGAAAAATCTGTTTTGGTAACAGGAGAGATGAATGTGAGTCATATTTTGATTTTGGGGTGCCTGGGAGGCATCCACAAAGGGAAGTCTTACCATCTGTTGGTCTGAAACCCTAAATGGCAGATGGGGTTTTTAGCATTTCTTACACAGAACCTGTGAGAAGAACAAGGCCAGATGGGATTATATTTGTTGTAAGATGGGATTACATGTATTAAAATGGGGGTATGAAAAAATAATCTCAGATTGACACTAAATCTCTGGGTTGGTGATTTTAAAACTACCATTTAGGAAGATGAGAAAAAAAGTTGTCAGGCTTCTGCTTATTGTCTTCATTTTGTATATAGCCAAATTTACTGTTGGAAAATTCTCTCTCAAACCTATCCAAAAAAATATTAGCAACACATTTTTTCCCTGACCTTGAATTAAAAAAACAAACCTACCACATGATGGTTTTCATTCATCCAGCTAAGTAAGTGTTCAATTTTCAATGACAAATGGGTTCTGGCATTCTGCTTTTGTAATAGAAACTAGAGGTCCTTAAAAATAATAGAGATTGTGATTGACAGGACAGTTCTCTTTTCTGAGTCATCTCATAATATGACATTTTTGGACATCAGAGAGATGTAATTTGAAATAAAATTTAGGTGATGTTTTCCTTGAAATTCATCTCTATAAAACCAAATCAGGCATGCTGCTAAAGCAGCACAGAGAAGACAGAAGCCCTAAAGTGTAAACGTTCTGTAGGTGGTCGGTCAGTTGACTGAGAAGCACAGTCTTACCCGTTTTCTGAAGGGAGTCTCACCTACCTCACACCTGTGGAAGAAACCCTGTCTCGGGTAAGATTTTACTATGAGAATGATCAGAGTACAAGTCTTTGCAACTCAAGATTTTCAAGTGCGATCACTGGAATCTAGGTCTCACCAAGTCAGGATATCTGAATACCTAAATATCAATGGACATTTACTTTCCTAGTTCTGTGAAGAACGGTCCTGAGAGCAAGACCATTACTGTGCACACTGAACTTCAGATAGCTCAATTAAGCCCTCCAAGCTGCAGGTAATACAGAAGCTTAAAGTATTTAAAACAATATGCCAATTACAAATAAATAAAAAGTGTTAATTAAATCGATCCTGGAGGACTTTTCCCTTTTCCTTTAGTAAAGGAAATAATTGAGTTTCATGAATTCACATCACTTTTTCCCCACTTAATAAGAATTAGTGAGATGTTTATAATGGATTTATGTCTTACATTACACACTGTGCTTATTTGATTACAAAGACCTCTGTCCTCAATAATGTACTCCACTGGGGATCCTAGAGATATGTAAAATATGACAGAGATCACCGGTTGGAGAGTCTGCAGATACTTGGTCATGTGAGTTAGGTTAAGGTAAGGCACTATACAGGCCTCACCTAGGGAGAAAGGCTTTTTTAACCAAGTTTCAGTAAGTTCCAAGATTATAATAATGTCTGGTGTCTTTCTGGATCTCAGGACTTGCCTCAAGCACAAGCATCCATGTTCAAGGAAGGAGTTAGGGAAGAATATAGTCAAGAGAAACAGGATACAATTGCTTATAGCCTTGACCTATAAATTTGTCCTAAGAATTTTCTTTTTTTAAAAAAATATATTTTATTGATTTTTTTTTACAGAGAGGAAGGGAGAGGGATAGAGAGTTAGAAACATCACTGAGAGAGAAACATTGATCAGATGCCTCCTGCACACTCCCTACTGGGGATGTGCCCGCGACCAAGGTACATGCCCTTGACTGGAATCGAACCTGGGACCCTTCAGTCCACAGGCTGACTCTCTATCCACTGAGCCAAACCAGTTAGGGCAAGTTTTCTTTTTTTAATAATTAAAAAAATTTTCTATTATAGTTGACATACATTATTATGTTTCAGGTGTACACCTCATTGCTTAGACATTACATAACTTACCAACTGATCATCCCAATAAATCTCACATCCATCTGACACCAGACATAATTATTAGAATATTATTGACTACATTCCCTATGCTGTACTTTACATCCCCATGACTATTCTGTAACAACCAATTTGTACTTCTAAATTCTTTCACCTTTTTCATCCATCCCCGCAGCTTCTCTCTCATCTGGCAAATGTTTTTTGTATCTATGAATCCATTTATGTTCTGCTTGTTTGTTTATTTTTTTTAGATTTAATTGTTGATAGATGTATATTTATTTTATTGTTCATATTTTTAATATTTTTTCTTCTTCTTCTAAAAGAAGACCCTTTGACATTTATGTAACACTGGGTTGGTGGTGATGAACTCCTTTAGCTTTTCTTGTCTGGAAAACTCTTTATATGCCCTTTGATTCTAAATGAGATTTTTGCTGGGTAGAATAGTCTTGGTTGTAAGGTCCTTGCTTTTCATAACTTTAAATATTTCTTGTCAATCCCTTCCAGCCTGCAAAGTTCCTGTTGAGAAATCAGCTGACAGTCCTTATAGGCAACTAACTGCTTTTCTCGTAGTGCTTTTTAAAAAATATATATTATTGAATTTTTACAGAGAGGAAGGGAGAGGAATAGAGAGTTAGAAACATCGATCAGCTGCTTCCTGCACACCCCCCACTGGGGATGTGCCCGCAGCCAAAGTACATGCCCTTGACTGGAACGAACCTGGGACCCTTCAGTCCGCAGGCTGACGCTCTATCCACTGAGCCAAACCGGTTAGGGCTCTTGTACAGCTTTTAAGGGTTTCTCTTTGTCTTTAACCTTTTGCATTTAAATTGTCTTGGTGTAGGTCTCTTTGGGTTCCTCTTGTTTGGGACTTAGCACTTCTTGGAATTGTATGTCTATTTTCTTGACCAAATTAGGGAAGTTTTTTCAAAAAGATTTTCAATTTCTTGCTCTCTTTTTCTCTTTTCTACTTTACAAACAGCTCTTAAATATTAACAGAAATCAGCAATCACTAGAAATTTGAAGAATCCCCATAATAGGACAGCCGTCAAAACAACTTAGAGAAAATAATATATATACAATGAATAAAACTTCTAAAGAAATTATCACTAGTACCCTCAGAAATAAAAGAAGATAATATATGAAGACACAAGATTCTGTAAAAAATATGAAACAGGATTAAACATAAATTCTTGTAAATTCAAAATATGATAACAGAAATGAATAACTCAATAGAATAATTGAAAGAAAAGGCTGAGGAAATCTTTGTGAAAGTAAAATTAAAAGAAGAAACAATAAAAACTAATTCAATAATGTCAATAAGATGATCGGAAAGTTAGAGGATAAGTCCAACATCTCAACAAATAAGGACTTTGGGGTATGGCTGGGTTGGTTGGAGTGTTGTCAAAAGGTTGTGGGTTTGACTTCCAGTCAGGGCACATGCCTAGGTTGTGGTTTGATCCCAGGTTGGGTTGCGTACAGAAGGCAGCTGATTGATGTTTCTCTCTCTCTCTCTCTCTCTCTCTCTCTCTCTCTCTCTCTCTCTCCATTCCTTTCTCTCTAAAATCTATAAAAATATATTCTTGAGTGAGGATAAAAAAAATAGGGACTTTGGGAAGAGAGAATAGAGAACATAATCTACAAAAAATCAACAGTAAAAGTAATGTAAGAAAATTTTCCAGACTAAGAAGACACCAGTTCCCAAATTGATGGAACCCACCAAAAGACTATCATATTATATGAAGAAAAAAAAAAAAAGACCCACTGCATCAGGCAAAACAACTTGAACTTTCAAGATGGCAACATAGAAGCCTCCTGAACTTCCCTCCTCCCATGGACAAGTAAACCTGCAGATACACACAGAGGAATTCCCTCTGAAGAAATCTGGAAATTAGCTGGAGGCCTCTGTCGAGTAAGACTCCTTCCACGTTCTGCATGGAGTAGGGTTCGGTATCTGAAAGAGGAGCTGCACAACAAATGAGAGAAAAAGACACGAGATAATTTTGCAATTTTGGGGGACCAGGCGGGCAAGTCCCGAAGGA